ATCATTTCATGAAAAATATCATCATTCAAACAAACCGAATTCAGATCGGTTTATTTCTATACGAGGTGTTTCTGAAATTACGATGGAAACTTATTGATTATGATTATGATTATTTACCTACAGGTAAGAACTGATGATGAGTGTATAGACGAAAGCGCTCTGCTCCGAAACATTTTAATAAACTATTTTGCACGAAATACATTAAATTTGGTACAATTAATTATAAATGAAAAAAAAAAGATTATCGATGAAATAATTTGAAGGACTTGTGCTATTAATTCTACTAATTCTTTAACCACTTGTTGATATTCTACGCGTGGTGTCTTGCATAGTGATCTGGGTATTGGACCACAGCCTCTGACCACAACCAGCCACTTAGGCAGTTACAGGCCCCGAAAATCATAGCAATCCGACTAATTTCTAATAAATAGTCTCCACAAATCGCGTCGGAATGACATGCACCTTTCGGGTCCGAATGGCCCTCAGGCCAGACCTTTTTACTATACGGCCTGCTATAATTTCCTCCGATCCCATTTACAATTTGTTTTGCGTTTAACGCAGTTATCTCGATGACTTTAAACGTTTGATTATAGCAATTTCGAATAATTCGAGCTATTATTATTTGGAATCGGTTAAATTATTGTTTATGAATTTATCGTTTAACGCCGAGATGTTTTTTAGGTTGTTTTTTGTTCGGTAAATTGGTCGCGTCGAGTCAACCGAGCGGCCTTAATGTACAGCAATCATCGATTATGCCTTTTTGTGGACGGGCCATTTTCTTTATTATTTATGCGGCCCTCCAGATACGAATCGACCATTGTTGTACAATGGCCGGTTATAAGTATTATCTCGAACATTCCACTCGAAAAATCTCCTGCAATTGATTCAAGCACGCGAGGGATTAGGTGAGAAAAGTTTGCACCTGATGGATGTACGAAATGATACATCTATACCTACGCATTGAAATGAGTGAAAATTTCAATTAAATTGTCGCATTTTGAAATAGAATTCATAGGCAGAGGCGGACTGGGGGGCCGGGAGGTCGGGCAATCGCTCGATGGGCTGGGGCCCTTCGGGGCCGGTAGAAATAGTGAATGAATAAAGAAATATATGTCTTCTCAACAGCTTTCTGAAGTATGAGACCATTATATCTGCAGAGGAATCTTCAATTTCACCACTCCTCTTTCGAGCTATATAACTACGAATATCAGGTTCCAATGGATATTTTAAAAGCATACCAAATCGTCGGAAAAACCATGAATTCCTTGAAAAAATATTTTGATTGATACACATAAATTCATTGATGAAGCAAATCAACTATTTATTTCCAAAGAACACGAAATAAAAAAAGTTTTTTAATGAGAAAAGTGATGATGAAGCACCTCAAGATCCCATCAAGAAATTCAAAATCGAGACTTTTAATGTAATCATTGATAATATTATCACCGCACTGGAATTTAGATTCAAGAAACATAAAGAATTGTTTCATGATTTTGAACTATTTGATTCGTCAAGATTCACAGATGATCAAATAATATTGACTGAAAACTCAATAAGGATGATTTATGAAAAGATCCTTGATAGATTTTACCTCGAAGTGGGAAGACTGTTGATTACTTTATCAGAAGATATGATGGGATTGATGGGTGGAGGAACTTATGTCTTCGATGTAGAAGAGGATATGATTTCATCAGAACACAAGTTTTGCAAAACATGTTCACTATGTTCCTTCCATGGTTTGCACAAATAAAATTTTTACGTTGAGGTATATCCATATTCAGATAAAATTATTATCACCCTTTCGGTATCGCAGGTTTCATGTGAAAAAACTCTCAGGATTTAAATTTATTTTGATAAGGCTAAGAAATTATCTGAGCCAAGAAAATTTGGGGGCTTTCATCATGATGAGCTGCGAAAAAACGATTTTACAATCAATTGGAAGCGATGATATAATTTTCGATTTCGTTGAAAAATGTGGATCCATGAGAGGTTCACTCGTTCTGTGATTTCGATATCTAATGCGGCTTATGTTTTATTTTGGATGAATAATTTTCCTAGTCTATTTGTAGCCTCAATATTATTTACAAAGTTCCTTATATTCCTCCACCATAAAATTATGGTTCATTCTATCTATTCTTATTTTTCATTAATAAAATGTTATTCATGATATTGATTTCATTTTCCTTCAGTATATTTGATGTTTTATCGACGAATTTTCTCGCTTAAGTTTGATCAGAATCAAAATTATTTGTAACGTTTTTCTTTCGTTTTTGTCCATGTCACTAAAATATGTAAGTAATGAAATTATATGAATAGCTATATCAGCTTTGGAATTTTCTCCGGAGATGGGCCGGTAGGGTTCAATTCGCCCGGGCCGATTCAAAGGTCCAGTCCGCCCCTGTTCATAGGTTAGGTTTGGTTTAAACGTGAGTGGGCCCATGTCAGGCCCTTGACTGAGGCCAATAGCCTATTATTGTGGCTCACCCTATGGTTATATTTGCAGTTATCCAGAGTAGAGACTGTTAAAGATTTGGGTATATATTATAACTCCGCACTCGCATCGCAGGCACTACGGACTATGGGCTTTGTAATGAGACAAAGTGCACATTTCAATGACACCAAAGCAATAACTGCCCTTTATAATACTCTAGTAAGACCTAAACTTGAATATGGCGCTGCAATCTGGCATCCCTCTCAGCTAATCAACAAAAATATTTTGGAAAAAATTCAAAACAGATTTCTGAGATATCTGTATTATAAAAAATATAAAGTTTACCCGGACTATAATATAGTTAGAACAGTAGCACTTAGAAGTGAATATTAAATACCCAGTCTAGAAAATAGAAGACAAGCAATTATAGTCACAATGTGTTATAAAATCTACAAAAAATATTATAACTACCCCTATCTCTGATCAGTATTGAAAAGAAGATCTCCTAATCGATTGACCCGGCTTGTACAATTCTTTGATGTTCCATTTTGTATCAACTAATAACTGTTCACCCATTATAACAATGATAAAATTAACAAACAACTTCCTACTATTGTCAGAAGTCAGCTTTGTTCTCCCTCCCTCAAAATTTTATTATGGTATGAAAACATATTTTTCTAATTCAGAATAATAGTAGATTATACCACGAGTCAATAATGATAGCTATTATTCTCGAGGATTTTTTACGAACCGAGCCGCGTTAGCGGCGAGGGAGTAACATTCCGAGAGAATAATAGCCATTATTGCGAGTAGTATACTCTACTTTATTTGCGACTAATATATAAACTTGTGGTTTCTGAAGTATAATGCCATATATTAATCCCGCAGGGAATAATGGCGAGGGATTAATAGTCTTTATTCCCTGCGGGATTAATATATGGCATTATACTTCAAAAACCACAAGTATAATATATTAGTCGTGAATAAACAGTTTTTATAGTGTGTTCGCGCCATCAGTGATTTGAAATGATCATTTCAATTATTGTAGTTAGTAGAATATTTGCAATGATATACTCTAAGACTGTTATCATATAGATACTGTTGTTATATACATTATGATTCTCATGTAATAAGGTTTTCTACCTGTTTGAGAATAAATAAATAAATATTTCTCCGAGTATATCTAATATAATTAAGGAGTACGTTAGGAGAACAATTTATCAGGTTTTCTGGCCCTATACTATTGTATTGCCAAATGTGTTTAGCCGTTTCATCCTTCTCCATGCATAGACGGCACTCTGCATCTTGTGCAAGTCCGATTTTGTGCATGTGGTGTTCGAGTTTGCAGTGGCCAGTGAGCAAACCTACTATAACTCTGAGATGTGTTCTACTGACCGCTAGTAGTTTGTCAGAGTCCTGTTTGTTCCTTCTACAAGCAATAATGAATGCTTTGGAATGGGCTAGGCCTGGTAGACTACGTCAATACTCTTTTGTTATAACATTCTTTTGGCAGTGCTATGTCATAGATTAACAAACCTTTGTTAATCTGTGGCTATGTGCTATACCGATTACCGGTTCTGGCCCAGTGGACGATGTTGAGGCCCCCCTTTTTGCTAGGACGTCCGCTATTTGGTTCCCTTCTAGGCCCATGTGACCTGGTATCCGTTGTGTCAGTCGGTTTGAGGTTTCTCTGCAGTTCCATACTGCTCTGGATTTAAAGCAGTTGGATTCAAGTGCTCTCAGTGCTGCTTGACTATCCGAGAACATTTTTATTGTTTTTCGTGTGTGGTGTCGATTTTCCAGCTCCCTTGCCCACATTTCAATGGCGTATACCTCTGCCTGGAATATCGTAGCTAGTTCACCAACACTGAATGAGCGTTTCACTACTGGGTTCATCCGTTCATCCCGTATATTACGTCTCCGACGCCTTCCAAAGTTTTAGAGCCATCGGTATACCAACATTCATTTGCCCTACATATAGGTTAGTTTCATTCCGAACCATTTTTCTCTTCCAGGGAAGACCACAGTGTGGGACGTGTGAAGGTTGGTAGTTTTAGAGTATAGAGTAGATTTATTTGATCACGTTACAATTTGAGATGTTTGTGAAAAGTCATGATTTAGGCATGATGTCTGAATGAATTGATAATTTTGAAAAACGCTTGATACTTTTTGACATTAAAATGACTGATTTGAAAAACAATTTATACTTTTTGAAATCAATAAAGGTGTAGATATCAATGAAATACTTTGAATTCCTTGACTAGACTCCACTTTAGCTGTAATATTTGCTATGCACCTATTATTCTCCTTTGTACAATGAATACATTGATCGTGGCAGCTAATACACCCTATAGATTCTATTCTATTTCTGAGTGAAATATATGTTGAGTGATTGATCCTCGGTGAAAAATGATCAGAGAATCAGAGTTGAGCTACGAAGTTATTCGATGACAGTACTTACTAAAAATCGTTTGAGGCATCATCAGTACTTGAGTGAGAGCGACGTTATCATTCATTTCAGAATTGTATATATTTTATTCTAAATTATGTACTTGACATGTTTACTCACCACCCATATGTCCGTTTTCGTAGGGGTAGTCGCCATTGTCCAAGCGTTGTTTTTTGAGTTGGTGGTGCTGCAGATGCGACGCTGCCAAACTTAGTCCGACCGGGGCTCTTTTTGGCGGGCGGCCGGGCCTGGAACTGTAAAATAGTAGAGAATCACTGTTGTAAAAAACAAGGCATATTAGGGTGAGTTATATGAACTACTATTACCCCCCCCCCCTCCCTCAAACTAAATGAAGTATGATTTGTGGTATTGTTTTCAGGGTCAGTCATATCAATAATGAATATCAGTGGCCCCAGAATGGAGCCTTGGATCATACCGTGATCTTTTATAAGCACTGTCAGCACATAATGATGGTATCGTGAGTATCTTCAAATGAAATGTTTGGATATACAAATGATGGTTATTCATTTCACTAGGTGGAAAAAAACACGAACTACTGCCGCGGCTGGCGTTTCTTAGCCAAGGCGTAGCAACAAACTTTTTCTGCTTGACAGTGAAAGTACACCTCTTCTGCATGTTTAGTGTCATTAAAGAGCCACTTTGAATTATATCCTTTGGAAAAAAAAACTTTGTACTACATGTGGTTATTATATGCAACGAATGGTGCAACTAATCGTTAATATCCCAGACAGAAAAGAGTTGGTATGGGTTGTTCATTCCATAGTTGTGGAGCAACCCATAGAATACCTTGATGGGTGCTATGCTGAATCGATTCTTTCTGTTATAGGAGATATGAGCCTAATGAATGATATTTCTGATAACTCCAATTTCTCCATTTCTCCTTGACCGAATGATGGCATTTCCATTACAGAACAAATAGCTCAAAGGGTATGGTGACGTATGCCCTCTCTGTTTGCTGACAACTCCATCCATTAGATGGCGTCCGGCAACAAATATCAAATATCTCGCGGTCAACCGACAAATCGAACCCCTCTTTGATTTATTAGCTTCATTTCCGGCTATATCTGACATCATACTTTTCCTTATACGTCTCGTATACAACTCAATTACGTGGCGAAAGTCGTGCTATTTCGTCGGATTGGATATCTTCGCTCTATTACGTTTATTAGGTATTGGACTGTAATCTGATTCGAGGCTATATGTGGCACTAAAGAGATTAGCGGATATATTCGTTCTGTATTTGATTATTGCATTGGACAGTAGATGGAAATGGCATTCATAACTATGATTGTGATACTTTCATTTATTTATTGCATTATATTATGATATATTGCTTCTAATTTATTATGAGTGGTACTGAAGAATATTTTTTGTAGAAGACAAGCTGAAAAATGTATAGGCCACTCCTCATAGGAGACAACAATGCTTCTTGATCCAATCAAATACGCCTTGAGGCTATAGTAACAGCAAGGTATCTTCTCAATAAATTTATGGGAGAAGTCAAAGAAAGATATATTATATTCTATGGAAGTGCATAGTTGGTACTATTGATATATCGAAGACTGGAACCTTTGGCACGATAATACACTACACTGTTTTACCACTAACCAAACCGATTTTTTTAACGCCTCGACACGTGTTTCGCTAACTATGTTAGCATCTTCAGGAGAAGATTAAAACTCTCCTGAAGATGCTAACATAGTTAGCGAAACACGTGTCGAGGCGTTAAAAAAATCGGTTTGGTTAGTGGTAAAACAGTGTAGGGTACTATTGGTGTCTCAGTTAACCCTCAGGAAAATCAAGAATTTCGCAATAAGTTCAAATGGAGAGGTTACTGAAAAATGATCACAGTTGGGCCCAACGACCTCTTACTGAATCAATATTTCAACTGAGCCAGCTGTCAGTGATATCGATAACTACTAATGATAGTACCTCAAGATCCCTGTAGAAAATTGAATAATTCGAAAGGGTTGAGCTAATTGGAGTTGTAAAAAGGGGTAGGAAGTTGTTTTCCCAACTCATTCCATTTCTAAAGTATATTGAGTGATTTTGAAACTGTATACTCTTTGGACCAGAACTGACATGCCTGCTTGATGATTTTTTCGAGATAAATTATACTTTTACCAATGACCAGTCTCATCAGAGGTAACACAAAACGTGGAGGGGATTGTTCGAAATCAAAACTTCTTTGCAAGTGACCTATTGGTAGCTTGTTTTGCTGAAGAGTTTCCTGAGGGTCCTATTTCTCTTTTATAATCAAGCTCTGGGAAAGTATGACAGAAAGCTGATGTCGTGATAATCTAGGGTAGAGGTACCAAATATTTCACCTCAATTTAAACCTATATGATCTAATGTTCATTTGGAAGCATTGATAAAACTTGTTCGTGAAAAAACTGCAAAATGCGTTTTGAGTAAACAATCATTGACCGCTGCTCGAGATGCAAACCTGGATGAATATATTTTTCAAGTATGGTTGACAGAAATGAAGGATCTGATAACAAATGAGTTCAGAAGAAGTATCAGCTTTGGCTCCAATTGATAGGGAAGTATGTTCAATGGAAGAAACATTACAGACAGGACTAGGGCTGGGAAAAAATATCGATATATCGATAAATATATCGATATATCGATATATCGAATAACGATATTTAAGTTTTTGAATATCGATATATCGATATATCGATAACTATCGATAAATCGATAAATATCGATATATCGATAAATATCGATATATCGATAAATATCGATAAATATCGATATATCGATATATATCGATAATTATCGATAAATATCGATATATCGATATATCGATAAATATCGATAATTATCGATAATTATCGATGAATATCGATATATCGATATATATCGATAATTATCGATAAATATCGATATAAAGTGTGTCCAAGATAAGGTTGCTCAGTAATGTCTTAGAAGCAACTGTGAGAAGAGGATATCTTCATTTAGAGAATAATGGTCATCATTTTGAACAATTGTTATGAATGTTTCTGTTGGTATTGCCAAAATTAAGTTATTAAAGTAATTCGTGTGAGAATTCATAAATTTGAAGCGCTGCATTGAATAATATGGTGAAATATTTTTTTCCACTTTTTGGTATTGAATAACTATATAGTCCCTCAATGTTTGACACCAAATGATCAGAAACAAGTGGAACTGATGGCATTTTTTCTTTAGAATTTCGAAAACACATTGATGATGGCTAAAAATAGATCGAAACACATCGAAACCACCTTATACATGGTTGAATTCAGAATAAAAAAGTTTTCAGAATCTGTGAAAAAATTATCAGGACCGTATTTAAAAAACAAAAGTTGAGGATGTTTCTACGGATACAAAACGTCGCATAGAAAAATCGGTTATCACCACGTTAAACGTCATCAACAGTTGCCATGAAAAAGTTTTTTCAGTTTTTTTGTATCTAATAATAACGGAGAAAAAAAAAATAGATATTCCAAAAATTCACTTTTTTCGATATAACTGAAAAACTAAAAACAAGTTTAAAAGTTTTGAGGGCTGTTGGTATGAGCCTCCGAATGCGCAACTTTTTCCCCATTTAAACGACTCCGTTTCTCCTATACCGTTTCCGAGATCCCCATGTTGTGCAACCTTATCTTGGACAGACTGTATATATTTGAATAATGAAAATTGGTACAGGTATATTTGTATATTCCAATTGTTCCTGATTCCGAATCCATCATTATTATCCGTGAAAAAAATCCCTAATTAGTACTTTTTGGAATATGAGTCGATAAAATTGGTCGCAGTTGGCCACACGATAACTAGGGCTGGGAAAAAATATCGATATATCGATAAATATATCGATATATCGATATATCGAATAACGATATTCAAGTTTTTGAATATCGATATATCGATATATCGATAAATCGATATATCGACAAATCGATAAATATCGATAAATATCGATATATCGATATATCGATAAATATCGATAATTATCGATAAATATCGATAAATATCGATATATCGATAAATATCGATATATCGATATATCGAACTTATCGATAAATTTCAACTTATCGATAACCGATAACTGAAATCCAATATCGCGCAGCCCTAGACAGGACCTCTAGACGGAGAAAAGTCCTAGAAGAAAGTTATTTGCTATGTTTTCTACTACCTGTCGTGGCCAAGGAAGTAACAAACAGAAAAACATACTTTACTGAATCCATTTCACGGGTATATACTCCAAATAAACTAGATGTCACAAAAATAAACTATGCTGTTGAAGGAAAACTGTAATAATTCTTTAAAATGATTTCTACTACCCTGAAAATGCACTCATCTAGAATAGATAATATGTAACAGAGAAGTTTTCATCAATATTTTTTTTATATAACTGCAGTGTTCTCTGCTTTCCCAGCAAAGAAAATTAGCATCATATATTTCTTATTATAATTACTGTAATGTTCTATGCCTAATGAGAAATCCCGAAGAGAACCAGTTGAGAATTGGGCCTTCTATATGAACACCAGTGAAAGGAGGAATGCTAGAATGAAAATAAGTAAATCGCTAATATTTATGAAACGAAGGGCATGATCTCTGTGGAATATGTAATTTTGAGTTTTGAGCGAGAACGTCAATAGCTTACAATCACAATGACATTATGACAACAATGATATTTTTCATTATGGATAGAATTCTGTGGCGAACAAACCGATTTGGTTAACAGTGTGACGATAAAGGGCGGTTAGAAACGAAGTGAAATCAATTGGTTTCGTGGGTATCGGATGGAATCGGGTGTTAATTGTAGAAATTCTCATTTTACGAATCAGCGTACGAGTTAATCACTGGCCGCAGGGAGCTATTCCAGCGCAATTGGGATCAGTTTACCAATAATTCACGCGATTCGATCAATCAGATGCCCAATCATGCCATTTGAATCTGACTATTCGGATCATGAAGTGGAAATCAACCGCTCCCATAAATAATGATGGCGATTGGAACGAACCGATCGAAAGAAATAACTCACACGACGATGATTTGATTTGACATCATGGAATGCTGCACATAAATTATTAGGATTTTTATGAAGCATCGATTAATTACAATAATGATTCAATGTACACATTTTGAGCTGATATATTCACAAGAAGTGTGCTAAGTGTTGCTTTTCTGCACGCAAATACAGCTGGACTAACGACGCGAAGCGAAGCATATACAGGGCCTTTCATTCAAATATAATACACTCAGTTCCAAAAACAGTGACGCACTTGATATTTGACCTATCTTTTTAGAAAAAAAAATAGTAGGCCATTTTTTTTTATTTGTTGGTAGGTAATGCATTTGTCTTTGAAAAAAAAAGAGGTGAAAATTTTTTCAGAGCCTCCTTGATGGTGGTGGAATAACTCGAACCATTTAATTTTTGACTCACCCTGTGTGTTAATTGAGTAATGGCATAGAAAGTGCTTGCACCCTATACGAAAGACGCTTCTTTTGCGAGCATTTTGTTTTTTTATTCATTGATTTATCTCTAAAATTTTTTGCTGCTACCTTACGCTTATCCCACAAATTAAATTTATTGTATGATCAGAGTACTCAAAATTGATTGGGTTGTGTAGGATCACATTGTCTTTAAAAAAACAAATGCCGTTGCCATAGCAACTAATTTGTTGTATACCTCCATATCTGACCATTTGTCGTTGTGTCATCAATTAAGTGTCTTGTTTTATTGACTAAAATTACATAAAATGCCTCAAATGAATCCTGAACAAGTAGCAGGATTAGTTGCGTTAGTAAACGATGGGCGTAGTAAACGTTACGCCGCTCGTGCAGTGGGAGTTCATAAAGCAACTGCTCTTAGAGCAATCCGCAAGTACGAACAAACAGGAAGCATCGCTCGGAGGGTCGGTTCTGGTCGCCCCCGAAGAACTTCTCCAAGAGATGATCGCTTCTTGAGATTGCGGATTTTACGGAATCCATCAAATACTGACGTAAATGTTCAGCAAGATCTTCGCCAAATTCGTGATGTTGCAGTGAGTAAGCAGACGGTACGTAGACGTCTAAAAGAAGTTAATTTAAAAGCTAGGAGACCTGCAAAAGGTCCCAAATTATTGCCCGAACATCGTTCTGCTATAAAAATTTTTGTTGAAAATTATGGACATCAGTGCAATATTCCTGAATGGTCGAATGTCTTGTTTACGGATGAGACAAGGTTTTGCCTTAACATGTTGGATGGAAGAAAAAGAGTGTGGAGAAGAACTGGTGAACGGTTTAATAAAAATTTGAAAACAGAATGCGAAAGTTTTAATGGTGGGTCCGTTATGGTGTGGGGAGGGATTTCAATGAATGGAAAGACACCCCTTCATGTTTTTTCAGTGAGGCAGTCGATGAATGCCCAAATTTACATTTGACATTTTAGAGCAGTATGTCTGACCTTATGCAGAGTTAGTGGGCAATGATTTTATATTGATGCAGGATAATGCCTGACCACACACCGCAGCAATAGTGCGAAACTTCTTAGAAGCTACTGGTATTACCACATTACAATGGTCTGCGAGAAGCCCCGATATGAATCCTATAGAACATTTGTGGGATGAATTAGGGAGAAGGGTACGTTCTCGCGAGAGGTCTCCGGAAAGTCTCGCAGAAATGGCAGATGCATTAGTGGAAGAATGGAATCGTATACCAAAGGAAACGATAAGCAACTTAATTTCCAGTATGCCTCGTAGATTAGAAGTTCTTAGAGTTGCTAGAGGAGGCAATACACGGTATCGAGCAGTCATCCCAATTTATAATTCTGTGTTTAATGAAAATGTTTTTTCAAATTATTGGTATCAGTTAATTTCATTAGAAAATTGTTTGTCGATAAATTCAGAAAGTTGGTAATCTGCAAGGATTCAGCAAAAAAAGCTGTAATTCGGCAAATTTCAGAGATAAATCAATGAATAAAAAAACAAAATGCTCTACTTAATCAACACACAGGGTGAGTCAAAAATTAGGAATACATCATGGTTCGAGTTATTTCACCACCATCAAGGAGGCTTTGAAAAAATTTTCACCTCTTTATTTTTTTTCCCAAGACACAAATGCATTACCTACCAACAAATACAAAAAAAATCGGCCTACTATTTTCTGTTTTTTTTTTTCTTTTGTGAGATGATAGGTCAAATATCAAGTGCGTCTCTTTTTTTGGAACTGAGTGTGTTTATGACGAATGTAATAGGGTCATCTCAAGAACATGTAATATATTTGCTATTCAGTATCTGCAGAAGCAAACACCCTCACAAAATACTGTATAGCTAGTTGTAGACTAAAGATCATGTATGACAGTATATCCGCACAACTAATGCCTCTCGAGCGAGCTCTCGAGTCACCCAATGTTCTATCCTGATTCTCCTCAAGCTAAAGAAAAATACAAAGACTCAGAGACACACGCAACCTCAACCGGAGCTTTCCGGATAACACCCGGACACCACATATCATCCGAGATTTCCCGGGGAAAAATAAAAAGCCCCTTTGAAATATCGCGTGTGGAGATAGAAGAAGATCGTTTCAGGAGCTAACGATAGCAGTTGTGCCAGTGTTGTGTGCTCGGGCATCGTCATGAATCAAGGCGGCTGTGCCAGAGGCCGGTATTGTTTATCAGCTGTCCGGTAGCCGGTCTCTTCTCGGCCCCGCGGGTTATTGGGCCGTTTGTATCATTCTGACAACATAATAGAAAACCGCACTGTGCTTAGATTAAGGCAGCGCACTCTTCTCTGGCCGTTTATGTCACGGTCGGTGGTTTATTGTCAGCAATCGATGGCTCTCCTCTGCTGCCTCACCTAAGGATATTGCTCTACAAACTCCGATGCCAGTATATAACAACTATACAAAAACAATCTATTATGGTTCATTAATAGTACATTGTTTACCGGGTAGGAAAAGCTTGACATTCCTGGGCGACTGTGAAGATTGCTAGTCGAGGCGCAAGCCGAGACTTAGCAACACAGAGTCCAGGAATGTGGCTTTTCCTACGAGGTAAACATACTATTTTTCCGCAAATCGTTTAAAATTCGACAGGTATTGATTGATTTAAAGAAAAACTCGATAACTTTATTCCCAAATAAATGGTGCTTTTAAATTCCTGCTAAAATTACTTGGGTTACTATGGAAACGTATTGAGGTTGAATTGTCAAACTTGACGCTTATAAATTCAATTGCTGGTGTTCTCGAAAGTAAAATGATAAGTGATGATGAAATTTCCATTCCTGGGACTCCTCCAGAGCTGGTTGAGGTAGTGAATACTGCTTCATTAGTATTATTGCCAAAGAAATCAAGAGAAAAGTACGAAAATGCATAAAGACGTTTCATGGATTATCGCATGAGTAAAAATACGAGTTCTTTCTCAGAAAATGTTGTAATGGCATACTTCCTAGACCTTTGTTTAAAGATGAAATCTTCAACATTATGGGCCAATTATTCGATGCTGAAGTCAACCCTTGCAATTAAACACAATGTAGATATATCATAGGGCAAAGAAATCTAAGATTTTAACGAAGGAAGAAATTGAAAAATATATCCAGGAAGCTCCAGATAAAGAAAATTTAATGATTAAGGTAATTTATAAGGTTTTAATTTCTATATAGATTATACTTTTATTTATTTTTTAGGTGGCTGTAATATTTGGTATTTCTGGGGCCTGTAGAATGGATGAGTTAGTCCGAATGACTGTACACGATATAGAAGACCTAGAATCTAAGCTTTTAATCAGCATACCTGATTCGAAAACCAACAAACCAAGATCATTTGTAATTAATCAGATCTACTTGAATGTTTATCGAAAGTATGTTTCGTTAAGACCAGAAAATATGAACAGTGACCGATTTTTCTTCAAATATCAAAGCGGAAAGGGTTGTAGACAAGTGGTAGGAATTCATCAATTTAGAAAAATGCCCAAAATAGTTGCTACTTATTTGAACTTGGTAAATCCGACAGAATATACTGGTCACTGCTTTCGTCGGTCTTCTGCAACAATATTGGTTGACTCTGGTGCCGACATAACTAGTTTAAAGAGGCATGGCGGATGGAAGTCATCAAACGTTGCTGAAGGATATATCGAAGAATCGCTTAACAATAAGGTTGAGGTGGCAAATGAAATTTTAATAATTGGACAAAAGTGATTCGCATTCAAATGCAATGTTGAAATAAAGTATAGTTTTGGTGGAGTTGACTGTGAGATTTTCTTCCTGTCCTATTATGTTCACTCCACTGCAAGATGGATCGACTCAGATGGTTACCATCAAGAGACATGAACGACAGTTATGGAGGTCCTGCGGATATACCGTATAATTGCTTTGGAAATAAAAGAATAATATGAGATATAGGAATTAAGTTTTTTATTAATATATTGAAGTCCCGATATCTCGAGAACCTTGACGTTTTTGTTGGGGTCAAGTTGTGGTTTTCTAATAGGTTATGAACTTGTTTATCACCAGTTAGAATATGATTCATGGTTCTCCGAACACATTGTATGGGCCTCGGTCTTTGCTTCTTCATCAAATTAAGTAAAAGATATAGCGAACGTAGTCCGGAGCGGTCCGAAGATCAGTTTTCTTATATGAAGTCATATCAACCAGCGTATAAAAGTAATATGCGTATTCTCGGTAACATTTTACAGAAAATTATCCAACACCACGATATTTCAGACAGTAATTACAGGTCTCCCATGATTGACTGCTTCCATCCAATCGTACCGAGATGAGGAGTGGTCATTACATTTTTTTAATAAAAAGTTAAGAGCTCCAAATTTCAGGCCGTATTTTCGCATTCGGGCATGTGATTCTTGCGAGAAGATTGGAATCGAAGGAGCAGAAAATCGGTTGGAAGAGAAGAAAAAAAAGTGAACGGAATCAGTGAGCACGCGAGTAGATTTGGAGAATGGAAGAAATTTTCGCGAATAACGTGCAATCACTTCGGACTGGCTGGTTATTAGCTCTAGAGGAATATGTATTTTGTTGTGTTTCTATATAGAAATTATTCGATAGGAATCGACCTTTCCATGTCAAATCATTGGTTGTTGAATTGGCCTTTCAAAATGGTGAATTAATGAAATTACATATTTAGACAGAAGGAAGAAGATGGAGGATTCATTGATAAGATGGAAACTGATTTCGTTGACCTCACCATTGAACTGAAAGTCAACAACACAACAAGGGTTTGATGCATATATATTTGACAGATTATTTCCATCGGTTGAGCTATTGTTGAAAATACAATGAAAAAACGAAGGGATGTAATAATTGAATGAGTTGTCCATTCCTCAACAATCTGACAACGTTATTTTTATGAACTGAGAATGTTAATCTCGATGTCAACTTATTTCTTTCACTACATAGTACAAGCAGAAATCTCAGTGAGTCGTTCTGATGTGTGTAGAATCGACCATATACTTCGCTCTTCATGGTAATTTCAAAGTTTGGAACTTCTTCCGAAAGAACTCATTCTCAAAACTATATTCATAACTTCGAATTGAAATGCTATAGGTTTCAAATCCTAACTCAACCCAAAAACAGATACTAATGCGTGTGAACCAATCAGCTTTTTTAATTTTGAAGGCGTTCAAATTTTAGTTGAAATACCCTGTATAAACTGCAAAGAGCCAAAATGCTCAAAGTGGAATGAAATATTATATAAATATGCGAAGCTCAAAGGCATTCCCACAAAAATATTCATAAATCAACGAAACTGGTAGATAAACGAATACGATTGGAAGTGTTCCTTTCCTAAATGATGAATTGTGCTTGAATTGTTCAGGAACGATTGACTACCTACAGACCAGTTTCGAGCATTCGCTCTTTTCCGTGCAGGGGTGTTTCCAATTGACATACATGACCCAGGAGGCGTTCGGCCACTGCGAAATGAATACGAACGCCATCTATAAGGTATAAGGAAAGAAACACTCGAAAACAAATTTTTATTTCAGATTAACTGGAAGTGAGAGTGGCTGAATGACCGTTTGGCGTGATTTCAACTACGAAAAAGCCAAAATGCTCAAAGTGGATTGAAATGTTAAATAACTATGCAAAGCTCAAAGTTAGTTCCAGAAATGTTCATATAAGAACGAAACTGGTAGATAACGCGAAAAAAACAACTACTTTCCTGCCTATATGCCACGCAAAACATTGAAGCACATCCTCCCGAAATATATGCAAGATTCTTTTAGACGAATAAGATTGCAAGTGTTCCATTCCTAAATGCTGAATTGTGCTCGAACTGTTCAGGAACGATTTCGAGCTTTGGCTCTCATCAGTATCGGGGTGTCGCCAGATGGCATTCATGACCGCCATCAGGTGCGAACCTGACCCAACGTAAACATCTCCCAGCATTTGATACTCACGAGGCGTTTGGCCACTGCGGAATGAATACGAACGCCATCTAGGGTAGAAGGAGAGAAACAATCCAAAACAAATTCCCATTTCAGATGAAATGGCAGTGGGAGTGGCGGATTCCCAGCTGGCGTAATGTCAGATATAAAAAGCTAAAAGCTCAAAGTAATTTCCACAAATGTTCATAAATGATTGAAACTGGTAGATAACGAGAAAGAAAAAATATTTATACATGATATAAGTGCTAGAAGTGACATTTTATTTTGTGAGAAGGGAAGAACAGAAGAAAAAACACTTTTAGCACATATATCATACACTAGCACTAGTGCTAAAAGTGATTTACTTTCAACACCAGTGTCATAAACTGACATTTTAGACACTGACAGCATGCGTCAAAAATTATACTTTTTCTGACGTTTGTAGAAAAACACTTTTCTGACGTTTGTAGAAAACACTTTTCTGGCTATATGCCACGCAGATTGCAAGTGTTTTTTTACTAAATGTATTTTAAACGTAAATTGGGATTATTTCCTCAGAGATCCTTATTTCCAAGATGATCACAGAGTCAAACGGAGATAACTGTAGACAAAAACAAATCGTTTTAATCTCTTCGGATTTTCTGTTCGAGTGGAGTGAAGAGATTAGCCAAACATCAGTCGAAACGTAAATTGAAAATCTGAAGCAAAGACGATGATCGAATCGGGTGCATTTACAAATTATTTAATTTTCCGCCCAAAAGAGCAGATTTGTTTCCTAAGGCATCTCCACTGGAGTGTGACTAACTTCTAAATAACAACTCTAAGACGGTAGAGGTTTCTACTTGACTTCTCTCGCATATCTTTCATCTGCTCGCTGGAATTAATGCTTCTAGTTTGTGTTGAGAAGTGAATGTATGTACAGATAATGTGCGGATCATTGAAAGATACGATATACGATGTGTACATAAACCGATTATCATTCAATCATTCTACAAAGGATACTTGAGAAAAATATACACAGGGTGTACCGAAATTACATACATAGAAAGATTTTAACTGCATTCTGAAGAAATAGTTGTATTAGCTATTGCTATAATTATGCCTATGCTCATGGTCGGGATTTCATGTTTTATCCCTTGACTTTGACTTATGTCAATGTCTTGCCCACGTCATTAATTGACATGATTTTCAGTGTTTTCTAACCAGATTAGTTCAGATTTAAACACGTGCTGGCTGATTGCCCCATCAATTTTATTGATATTTTCTTTAAGTAGCGCTTTCATAAGGGCACGGGGAACCCCTTTTTAAAAAATCCGTTTATGGTGTTGTCAAAAACGAACATTTTGGCGCAATACCCTTCATATGCCATTCTGGTCTATGGAATTTTCAATGGAAATGATAGTATGCGCACTCACAACAATTCAAGAAACAGTAGCATCAAAATTGTTTTCAACTCCAAGTAAGTCAACCACAAATCAGGTAAATCTTTCACATCAACTTTTATTTTGTTTGTGTATTGTAGAACTTTCAATTAGGCTGAAGATGGTCTTTTATAAGGCTGAAACATGTCCCTTATGATTATTTAACATCATTAAAATTTGTGGAGTTGACTTCGAGCATTCCTTCCTTCCTTTGAAAATAAAATGAGTTTATATAAACGCTGGTCCATCTGAGGGTGAGTCCGAGATTTTTTTTTTGTTATCTCTTGGAGCACACGAAAGGAAATCCCTGTAAAGTTTGGAGGACATCGTGAAGGCTTTTTATAAATATTTCCGAAATCCATTGTGATGAAATATCAAAATTTCGTACAAGTATATACCAGGGGCTCTCATTATTTGTGGACCCATATGTTGATATGAACTGATTTCGTTCGTAGAATCTGCATCAGTTGAAAATTTTCCATGTAATTTCCGTACACCCTGTAGGATGAGTCAGTTTTTGATGGCAAGACTTCAACAGCTCGAATAGTATATTTTTTCAAGATAAAAATCTCATGTAATCATATGATTATGCGTTCCAGCCCCCTTTCCGATATACAGGCGGTGTGATATTTTGATATCAATTTTGTGTTTCTCAGGATTTGCCACAGACTATTACTAACATATCTTATGGAAGCTCTCATTTCATTCCAAGCCTTCTATTAGTTAATTTATCAAGAGATGTCGAACAAAGTGTGTTTATTGCAAGCACCTAAATCATTTTTCGCATTTTGGCAAAACGTACGAGAGAACAAAAAGTATACAAATGAAAGAGATAATCTTAATTGATGTCTCATCGATCAGCAGAGGCTGAATGCGAAAAACTTGAAGTGGTTTAAATTGGGTACAATCAATGAAAGTGTATCACCCTGTAGGTAATCTATCAAAAAGTCCAATGGTCCTAAATATTGAATTGGTGTTTCAAATTTCAACTCATTATTTTGCAAATCATTGGAGGAAACTCAAAAAATACAAAAGCATTCCTAAACTTTGACACCCTGTATAGGTATTATGTTCAAATGAAATGTTCATCTCATTTTCATATATGTGATTTTCAAGGTGTTAAAATCAGATGATTTGCCCCAAAATGTCATTACTATCAGATAGCATGAAAGAAAAATCAAATCGCTAGTCAGTGACACTTTGTTTTGAAAAATACTTGGAGAAGGAAAGTATATACATATATTGGGAGAATATCAATTTTTTACTTATAATTTTGGACGTTTCGGAATCGAATCTGCTCCCATTTTCAAGATAAAAAATGTACGATAAGATGAAAAAAAAATCCCAAACAATCTAGCGTAATGAATACAATTTGTTTCAGGTTGCAATTAGGTGGAATCCCATTATTTATTCCGGCTTTCATATAGGTAGACAAAAATACGTATTATTAGGGTATTTTATTATCAGAGAAAAATGTGTAAACGAATCGTAATAAAATAATACATAAACTTTCTTCCAGGTCTGCTTAGGCGCCACACTAGTGTGACTGTTGTAAATCAAAAGATGAAAAGAACAGGCTGTTTACATCAGAAGTTAGTCTTGAGTAGACTGTTAACCTCTTCGCTAACAGTGCTGCTGGCAGCCAGATAAAGAAAAACCCCAATCAGTGGCGTATACATAGTGGCTGTCCAGTCGTTTCTTTTTTCTATCCCACAATATTCGAACCACTGATGCATAAGACTTGGAAAAAAACTATCAGCATTGATTCATTACTTTGCTATTGGAACTTACATTATTTTGCGTCAAATTATTGTGTAATTATTCCAAGAAAATTTTACATACAACATAATTCCTGAACGTATATTTCGAATTTGTATTCAGATTATGGGGTATTATTTATAACAAGAATATCATGCGAGAGGGTAGTTGAATTTCTTTCGTAAAATATCTGGAAATTTGTTGCAACTTGAAATTTCATGAGTGCACCACTGTCCTTAACAGCTGCCTATATCGGCCACAAAATATTACGAGTCAGATTCGTTTTACTGCTGTTTTATTGCCTAGTGCGACTGTTTGTCGATTTGCACGCTGAAAGCTGTCGAAAAAAACACTAAAAGTTTTTTGAGCGATCTTGAAACAAAGGAAGGTGAAGCTCTGCCGTTTGCTTAAAGGATCATCTCCCCGTCCATACACTATTTGCCAAAAACTCAGAGTAATTTAGTCCTCTAGATGAAAAAAAAACTGACAATAGTTTTGTTCTCGTTCGAAAAATAAACAGTCCGAAACCATGAGAAGCCAATTCACAGAACTGTTGGTATTCTTCATGTTCCGTGGCACTGCGCATGCTTCTGATGGTTTCTGATGTTTATTTTTCGAACGAGAACAAACCTGAAATCACCTCATTCAGGAGTGATTTCGATACTCATTCAACGTATCGTATACAATGTTGTTGTCATTTAAAGCTGTCTATTTTGATTGATTCTGTCAAAGGTTTTGTATCCTGCCAAAAAGTATGTGTACATCTTTTCCTGAATAGGGCGATTCAGAATACCATCATGATGTTCAAGAGAGCCCATGAATCATTGAATGCTTCCAAACTATTAATATTAATCAGAAAGCTTCAGCCACTGTTCTACCAAGTACAGAGACGAACGTACCTTGAGCACAACATGCCCGACCGCCTCAAGGACATGTCGACTCGAGCCAACCCGAAGTTCTTCGACATGGTGGAGTATTTCTTCCACAAAGCCTCTGCCCTCGTCGAAGACAAGCTAGTGGAAGACCTCGCTAAAATAAAAGGCTCCAAGCTCACTCTGGAACAGCGCAAAACGAAAGTCAGAGGCATCCTTTCGCTGATGGAACAGTGTAACCAAGTGGTGGAAGTGACCTTTCCCATCAAGCGGGACAGCGGGCAGTACGAAATAGTAAGAGGATTCAGAGCGCAGCACAGTACCCACAAGACCCCTTGCAAAGGGGGCATGAGGTTCTCTTTGAACGTATCACGGGACGAGGTGAAAGCTCTCGCGGCTCTGATGACATTCAAATGCGCTTGCGTGGATGTTCCCTTCGGAGGATCCAAAGCTGGACTAATGATCAACCATAAGAAGTACTCGGAGCAGGAACTGGAGAAGATAACTAGGAGGTTCACTCTGCAGCTGATCAAGCTGGGGTTCATAGGTCCGAGCATCGATGTACCAGCTCCCGACATGGGTACAGGCGAGCGAGAGATGTCTTGGCTAGCTGACACCTATGCCAGGACCATTGGTTACCAGGACATAAACCACCAAGCTTGTGTCACTGGGAAACCTATCAACCAAGGTGGTATTCACGGAAGGATATCTGCAACAGGTCGTGGGGTTTATCACGGCATAGAAAACTTCGTTTCTGATGAGAGCTATATGAAGATGTTAGGGCTGACGCCGGGTTTCAAAGATAAAACTGTTATCATCCAAGGTTTCGGTAATGTCGGCATGCATACGATGAGATACTTGCACAGAGCTGGCGCTAAATGCGTTGGGGTTATTGAACACGATGGAGCTGTTTACAGCGAGTCAGGTGTAGATCCCAAGAACTTAGAGGACTGGGTGCTGACCAACGGTAGCATTGTAGGGTTTCCAGAAGCTAAAGCTGCAGATGCAGAGCTCATGTTCCATGAATGCGATATACTAGTGCCAGCTGCTGTGGAAAAAGTCATCACCAAAGAGAATGCTGATAAAATCAAAGCGAAGATCGTAGCTGAAGGTGCGAATGGACCTATCACGCCAGCAGGTGATGCCATACTGCTGAAAAAAAATATCCTGGTCATTCCTGATTTGTATGTGAATGCTGGTGGGGTAACAGTGTCTTTTTTCGAATGGCTGAAGAACATCAACCACGTGTCGTACGGAAGATTGACTTTCAAGTACGAGAGGGATTCAAACTATCATCTTCTACAATCCGTGCAAGAGTCCTTGGAGAGGAAGTTCTGCGAAGCTGGTGAGATTCCTATAGTGCCATCGAAAGCGTTTCATAATAGAATCGCTGGTGCTTCGGAGAAAGATATCGTACATTCTGGGCTCAGTTTCACTATGGAGAGGTCGGCCAAAGCTATCAAGGATACAGCTGAAAAATATGGTCTGGGGATGGATCTGAGGTCTGCTGCTTATGTCAACTCTGTTCACAAGATATTCGTCAGCATCAATGATGCTGGTTTCGCATATTAGTTATACTCTCTATTTTACTTATCGTACGTTTTATTGAATCAATAAATCATTTTGATGGTTCCTTGTATGCTCTCAAAATCGATTAGCGTTGGGAAGAAACCCCGTTTTAAAGGGCACAGTGCCCTACTGCGGCGTCAGTTTCAACCCTTACGTAACTCGAGCAATATCGTCACTCCCTCCTGTATCTACAGGATGGCAGTCGGTAGTCAAAATGTTTACTACAAAATTATTACCTTGTTCTATATGTGTTCGTCAGTCGCTATATTATATCATTTTATGATTCTATTTTGGTACTTACTGTGTTCCACGAGCATAATAGGGAGTCTCTTTCGTGCGCTCCTAAAGATCAAATACATTGGAGTTGAGAAAATTGATCATCATTAGTGAATATGAAGTTTTAATGTTCATCTACTGGATTGATGGGGCCTTAAATTTTCTTAGTTCGATTCTGAAGCTTCAATAAACGAATTAAATAAATCCGGAATGATTCGAAATTGTTTCGTGTTCAGATGAGCATGTATGGAAAAAAGCTTTCATTAGAATAGAGTGGGTAATTTGGAGAATATTAAAGTTCTTGTAAAACACGAAAGGCAATAATAAATCCCAGAGGAGAACTGCCTTCATCCAGGTATTCCTGAGGGAGACTGTAAAAGATTCATAATCTCAGATTAAGAATAAAAATGCTCTATTTCTTTGACGAAACGGTTCTTTTGTTTCGGATTCCGAATTGCCCCTTTGAGACAGATTAATCTGATGGAATTCCTTGATTCATTCTTTTATGCTTTTACGTTCCATAACAAGTGTATATGTATGTTGAGAAAGTAATATTGAAATTATGCAACAATCACAAGAATATAAATATTCACCTTATGGAAAATAGTGGTCACGATTCATTTTGTTAAACCTATTAATAGAATATAAGATAGCACTTTTTTTCACTAACCACACTGCATTGACAAGTTTTCGTTTTTGCTATACAGGGTGCCCCAAAATTGCTGGGACACAGAGCTACCACATGTAATACAGGTCGTAATACCTTGATTGGACCCAATTTATTAATTTAACAAAATATACCGTCCGTGAGACGAGTTCAGAGTTCACATAGAAAAACACATTTGTTACGCTGTTCAAAAATGAGTGGAACAAATTGGATGGAACTTGACAAAAGTGCATTTTAGAGGATAACCCTTTTTTCGTTAATCAAATACACCCAATAGAAATTGTCGAAGGGTTGGAACCACCTTCACCCCCTGACATTTTTTCAAAACATTCTGAGGGGTGGTAATGCGGTTCTCAAATTTTCTGAGCAAGATGATGACTAATTAATCATCTTTATTTAGTTACACCTGTGAAAATTTCGTATTCTGGATAGTTCCGAAGGAGAAAAATAAAACAGATATTCCTATAGTAAAAGTTTATTATCATTATAATAAAAAAATTTGTTGACAGTGGAAACAAAGGCAGAACGTTTTTTTATTATTGTTCAATATGATCCCCACCTTCATCAATACAAATGTCGATTCCTCTGTTTCCACTGCCAACTAATTTTGTATTACAATGTTTTCGAACGTTTACTAGATTACTAGATATATCTATTAGCGTTATTTGAGAAAAAAAGTTTTCCTTGCGGAATTCTAAATTTTCACAAGAGTAACAAAATGAATCAATTATCTCGCTAAAAGAATTTGAGAACCAATTGGGTGAGGGGGGTGAGGATGGTTTCAACCCTTCTACAATTTCTGTCGGTTTTTTTATTACTGAAAGAAGGGTTATCTTCTGAAAATGCACTTTTGTTAAATTTTATCCAATTTCAAAAGAAAGAAGGAAAGCTCGAAGTCATCTCCACTACTTTATTACTAATGTAAATCAATCAAGGCGACATGTTTCGGACTTCGGAAGTTCATCTTCAGCCGTTTTTATAAGTTAATGGAGGTGAACATTATTTCAAGTTGGATGCCGATGTCTGTCACCATGATATTGTGGTTATATTAGTGAATAAAGGGGAAAAATCCAAATTATTCTCTTCCGAACGCTATAGTGGCGCCGTCAAATGCAATCATTGTGTGTTTTTTGCTTCAAAAATTGGTGGTGGTGGCTTTGAATATTTTCACCATATCATCAGGCACAAATAAATCAATAACTTGACACACGTTCAGTTGCCTCCTTCAATAATCTCATAACATTTGGGAACACCCTGTATATTGAATGAATGGAAGGATGATCTTAAAACATCGAATTGAGTGTAGTGATTATCATTTTGAGTTCTTTATGAGGACTTTTTTATTGCTCGAGACGAAATTATGCGGTTGTAATGATTATAATATCTGATATTTTCCGAATTAGATTCAAGTCTATAATATAATTGGAGTCTTTCAGTTCACTATTTTACATAATGATGATTTATAATACATTGTTTCTATTTTTCTCAGACAAACTACTATTAATAACAATAAAAAGCGAATTATTCCATTTCCAGTGATACAGAGTGTGCTCTAATTAGATAATTCGATGTGTATCTAAATTTATGCATAATTATGTAAGGAATCAAAAGGTATGTGTTTCCTAGCTGGCTGAATAATGTATATTATGTAAAATCAACTTGAATGGAAATGATACAGGATTATTCGAGTAACAACAAAACGCAAATTAACAGTAACAAAATAGTAATGGGATGAACGCCTATCAATTTCGGTGGTGCCTGTCCATTGTACAGGGTGATGGACAAATCTCGATGTTTGTATGGAAAACACAGAGGTGACATTCCCGATCGCTTTCAATGAAACAAAAATTTGCAATCGTCCGTTGTTTAGAGGTCAGAGAAATGTCGTGGTTTTTTGTAATGTTAGGAGAAAACGACATTTTTATATTTTTAATGCACTTTTCTTCTGTATAATCCAATAGCATTGAGAAGTTTGAAGAAGAAGTGTTCCTACGTCATTGCAATAAAATAATTATATAAATAAAAAGTCGAATCGACGTCTACTTCCGAAGTAAACATGATCAACTAACATTTCTCATATATCCAATGTGAATTGGTCGTTTTGAAATCCATGATTCATAATGGTTCAGAAATTTGACGCCAGAGTCGCACTTTTTGTGATTTTCTCGAATTGGAATTGATGTCTGTTTACCAAATACCAGCCAATTATTTTTATGGAAGAATATTTTCGATGAGTGTACAATAAACCCTTTTGAAGGGTTTCAACCCTTACTGAAAAAACATACTTATGTAATCTCATACAGCAGCGAGGATAACAGATGTATTGTGGGCATAATCTACCCTATTTTTACTCTATTGTATAAGAACGACCTAACCCTATCAGAAACTGCTATAATACTGTGAATTATTGCTATAAATGTAATCCAATATGTGTGTTTTATCATTGAAATATAGGAATGATAGAGTGATCAAGTCACAATGAAAGGAGTCTATAACCAATCAATTATTTGACAGTCGGCACTTTCAGGAAAAAAAAACGAAAATGCATGTGGTTTTCGGATTTTTATTATTCCCGATACTACTTTCTACTACAAGAAATTTGATCTGCATCTGCCGATTAATGATCATGAACCCTTTGATGATTATTGATGTAGGTGTATACACAAGTGCAGATATATTTGAAATAAACAGACTTTACTAAGTAGGAATTTTCAAGAAATAGAACTGTTGTACACAGGAATTATTAATGTTTATTTGAAGTGTCTGTTTAACGTAAACTATGTATTTTATGTTATTCTGTTCTAATAGAGAATAAACAAATAGTTATTAATAAAAACTGTACATAGATGTGTTCAATGAATATTGAAACTATTCGTTGAATTATGATCTCAATATTACATATCACTAATATGTAATATCTTAATATATACATGACGAGACTATATAAATAAATGTTCATGGATACTAAGACAGCTCTACTAGACTGTATCCTCATCTGCAGAAAAATATGTTCTTCCGAATAAAAATATCATTTTGATTTCATCAAATTGAGGAATCATCAGATTTATTATATGAAGTGAAAAAATTATTGGAAAATGTCAAAGCTTTGATGAGATATTCAACCATATCAATCAATAAAAACATATTTCAAGGATAACATTTGTGCAGGTACTATAATGAAGTGGATAAGGCTTTCGCAGTTTTTGTGTTTTTACAACGAGAAGATATTTTCTTTCCAAGTTAATTATGGAGCAATATTTAAGCAAAACAATAGGTAGGTACACGAAAATGATACGTAATGACCACTTTTAATGATAGATTTGTCTATTAAGGATCGGTTGTAGTTTATATAATATAGGCAACCAAACATACACCACGTCTTTTCACACAAATCGTGTAACTAGCGCCCTCTATGAGAGTTCGATATAAAAACAAATTCATGCATTATGTCAGCTTCAAATACGTATTCATAAACAAATTAATTTCAATGTTGCCTGTATAGTTTCGACATTGAGCATGTGCTGCCCAGTATACTTTATCGTTCCGATATTACTGAAATTTACTAGCAGAGATTTTGCGGGTCATTGCTAGGAACCCTGTTGGAACTACAAAATAGCCACAAAGCTCAAAGTGAAATGAAATGTCAAATAAATACATAAGCATTGTAGCTATTTCGTTGTTAAAATTACGCCTGTCGGGCAACCAGCCACTCCCGTATGGGAATTTCAGTTTTGGAGTGGTTCTCTCCTTTTCTACTCAGATGGCGTTGCTTTCATATTGTCTATGAAGGGCGCCTCTGGGGGAATATAATGCCGACTTGATTTTTGTTTGGGTAGGCTAAATGGAAATGTTAGGTTGAGCGTTTGAATGGAGTCGATTGAAAGTAGATATCATTTTCAAAATTTCAAATACTTTGGGAAAATGTATGAATTCGAACTGGAAGATATCACAGAGACAGGAGAAGCTGAAACTGCCATTATACCATTATAGATGGTTTGTTATACCCACTTTTGATAACAAATATTTCACAGCCATGCTTCATTTCTTCATCAGTGGAACTAGAGGTAGGTACTTGAGCTTGGTCAGGCTTGGTGTTTCTGATGAATCAGAATCACTATCGGATAATATATCTTCTATGATAATATGATTAATCACTCCATCCATAATTTCAACGTGAGTAAGGAAGATAATAAGAATGATGAAAATAAAAACCAACAAAACAAAACATCGGAA